GGAGAAAAGTTGTTCTCTCTTGCCGCAGAGGGCAGGACAAAAGGCAATGGGTTCAAACTACAACATAGCAATCTCAGGAAAAAGCTTCCTAACTGTAAGAACAGTAGGACAATGGAACAGACTGCCTAGGGAGGACATGGAAGCTCCTTCAATGGAAGTTTTCAAAAGGAGGCTGAATAGTCATCTGTCCTGGATGGTTTAGACAACTGGTTTTCAACCAGTGGTACGCATACCCCTGGGGGTACACAGAGGTCTTCCCCGAGTATACCAACTCATCTAGATATTTGCCTAGTTTTACAACAGGCTACATAAAAAGCACTAGCGAGTAAGTACAAACTACAATTTCATACTGACAATGACTGATACTGCTCTGTATACTATACACTGAAATGTAAGTACAATATTTATATTCCAGTTGATTTATTATATAATTATATGGTAAAAATGAGAAAGTAAGCAATTTTTCAGTAATAGTGTGCTGAGACATTATTGTATTTTTAGATCTGATTTAGTAAGCAAGTAAATTTTTACCTCACTTAAAAACTAAGTGCAGGAGCGGGGTCGGGGACACCCTGGTGCCACAGCCACCCCACCCAGCACTACTGGCCAGGAGCGGGGTCAGGGCACAGGGGCTCCGGGCCCCCCAGTTAGCTGGGGCCCCTGGGCATGGACCCCATAAACCCAGTGGCTAATCCGCCACTGCTAACACCCTAGCCACTACACCACTCTCCCTCAGTTAAGAGGTTAAAGAATCTTTTCAACAATTTTGCCACTAACAGCTCTTACTTTTTTTCCTATAATGAATATTTTACTGGACCTTTGGTTCTGACACAACAACTTTCCAGGTCTCACAAAAACAAATATTAATAAAGACACAACTGTCTAATATTTTTAGGTGCTCTTGCATGACCTAAATATGTCAAATTTGTTTTTATCAATTGTAACATGCAGCACAGATGCATATACACACATTTAGAGAATTCTATGAATGAACATATGACCATCTGATAAAATCTAAAATTTGTGAATTACTCAACTTCAGTGCATTTGACCTAGATAAAAATCATGCTGCAAACAGTTAGCCTGTGATGGGTTGTGTCTCTATACTGATTGCATTCAGAAAGTGAAGGAACCTACGTATTTGAAGAGAAAGCAAGGCTAGAGCAATGCAACTGCTAGAGCCCTTTGCGCTTCACAACTGCCCCCCTGCCTCACTTTTAAAATATTTTTATTATAAATTTCTAATTAACAGTGCAGGTCATAGCAGAGAAAAGAGATTATCTTGGAGGATATCATCATAAACAAACAAACAACCAGCATAGTGACCGCATGTGCTGCGGACAACACACAAAATTACTAGATAAATCACACACATACATACAGAGAAAGGAGCAGGAATCTAATCCTATAACTCCCAAAACTCAGACTTTTATATGAGGTTCAGGAGAGCTGCATAAACAGGCAGTAGGAACAAGTCCCATTCAAACTCCTCATCTTTTCCTTCAAGGTCTTAAATTAGCCAGCTAGGGTCTTTTCATATTACCAGCCCCGCCCACCACTACGTTACTGTAACAATGCCTGACTCATCACATTTATTGTCCGGTTTTCCAAGAAACAAAGAGTCCTGTGGCACCTTATAGACTAACAGACGTATTGGAGCGTGAGCTTTCGTGGGTGAATACCCACTTCTTCGGATGCATGTAGTGGAAATTTCCAGAGGCAGGTATAAATATGCAAGCAAGAGTGAGTCAGGCTAGAAATAACGAGGTTAGGTCAATCAGGGAGGATGAGGCTCTCTTCTAGCAGGTGAGGTGTGAACACCAAGGGAGACCAACACCTACAAAACCTTCACCAAGCATTCTCAAAACTATGATACCCACATGAGGATTCTTTGCTGCTTTTACAGATCCAGACTAACACGGATACCCCTTTGATACTTTTCCAAGAAGTGACTCCAGATCTTGTCATGATGCTCCCTGTGTACAGAACACCTTCCTGAGCTGGTCCACTACCACCCTCTCCACATTCAACTGAATGCTCTTCAGGAAAGGATCATGTTTTCATATATGTTGCACATGGTGCAACCCAAAGGTCTTCTGCGTGCTACTGAAACTGCAATGACGGTATACTTAAGAATACGGAGATTAAAATCAAAATCGCTCATTTATGATTCTTTTGGAGATGTTAAATATTTTACTAAAAGCTTTTGTTCAGTATCTCTAGCCAGTGGTGTAGCCAGCTTCTAAGAGGAGGGGGGAGCAAACATAAAAAAGGTGCCCACCCCTTGGCTCCTCCTCTGGCCATGCCTCCTTGGCTCCTCCTCCAACCGCACCACCCCTCCTCCCCCATGGCTTCTCTGGTCCTGCTGTGCCACCTCCGTGGCCCCCTCCTTGTTCCCCTCGGCCGCGGCTGCCGGCCGCCATGCTGCGCTCCTCCGGCTGCGCCCGCCGCCCCCCCCATAGCTGCCGGCCGCACTGCGGGCCACCAGCCTGTGCCCCCCTCGCAGGGCCAGCTTTAGCAAGAGCGGGGCCTGATTCCAGCAAGCCCCGCCCCCAGGAATCGGGCCACGCTCCGGCTGGGGTTGTGGGGCTTGGGTCCGGGCTGGAGCCGCTAGGGCCGGAGCCGGAGGTGCTCGGCCGGGGCCAGCGCGCTCCTCCTCGCACCCCCCCCCGCCGCTGCCATCACCGCCACCCGCCCCCCAGCTTACCTGCTGCCTGCCTGCCTCTTTCAGGCTTCCCGGGAATGTTTGATTCGCGGGAAGCAGGGGAGGGGGAGGAGCAGGGGGCGGAGCGTTAAGGGGAGGGGAGGAGGGGGAAGTGAGCTGGG